GTTGAATCAATGTGAGAAAGTGTTTTAAAATTGAATGGAGTTTCTTTGTGAATGTATGTATGAGTGGGAAGAGGTTGAAGACAAGTGAGTTTGAAGGGTTTTTCTAATTGACTTTCATTGTAAGTAAGCTTAAAAAAAGTTCTGAGAAGTTTGATTATCCGGTTAAAATTCTTAAACTTACATCTACTCCTTCTCTCTGATTTAAAATTCCAGATCTATGAATATGCAAATACTGTTCACTTTAAAAGTTTAACTGTTGGACACGATAGTTCCCTGAAAAGTCCACTCCCAATTTATTTGCACTGGAAGCTTCAGCTGTAAACATCTATTTGTGTCACAATGCTCCTGCGTACATGTTTTACAATCAGATTTAAGGCGAGCACGGTGGAGCTTTCCCCCTTCAGCAAATTAATGTGAAACTATACCAAACTCTGCACATACATCATTCTGCACCGTGAAGCCCAAACATCAAAGTGAATTACTGAATGTGTGTTACCACCAATGTAAAGATTGAATCTCCACATTTAACCAAACTCGTGTTCCAGATTTAGTTTATATTGGTACTCGGTGATGGCATATGCACACACGTGCGCTTTTAAGTCTCCTGCAGCTTACATGAGACAGAAAAGGCATAATTCATAGCAGTTTTTTTCCTTTGAGCAATAGGTGTTTTTTTTTTTGTGCTGAAATGGAATTGGTTAAGTAAGATCAAGGAAGATTGACTGTGGAGGAGACACATTTTTTATTATGTTTTTTTTTGTCAGATTTCTGTGCAGCAGGTGAATGTGATTTGTTTGTGTGGAGGCTGACAGCTCCATCTTTTTGTTCTTTTACTTGGGCTTTATCACCACCGGTCTTTTCCCCCTGCCCATACTGCTGTGAAACTCTGGGCCTCAAAACCTGGAATTAATGTTAGATCTTTTTCATGCCTCATTTTACTGTGTTACATATACAGCATCAGAGACCCGTTGGATTGGACAACATAAATGTGCTGAGCGCAGTTGTGTTGTATTAATAGCTCATGACTAAATTTGTGGGTATAGTTGCGAGGAGCAGCTTTAAAGCTTTCAGGTTATTTTCAACCTGCGCCGCATTTTCCAGTTTCCTGTTTTTAACATCCTGGCAGTGGATTGTGTAACTTCAAACACAATCATGCTTTCCTACCTCCAAGTGCTACTGAAGGCAGCGAAGAGCGCTGTTCTATAATGCATAACACCCAATGAAATCTCCAACCGTTGAAAAAGAGAAGTGATGAAAATGTCCATTTGACATTAAAAAATGCAGTTTTTCATTTGCATATATCTGTAATTGGATTTGGTAATTATCACAAGTATTCTTTTCCATATATTCAGTATCAAAGGGGTTAAGACATTACATTTTTTCTGTGTTCTTCTTGTTTTATCATTAATGCAAATATATAGTGTATAACTTTCAAACTGACTGTAACGGTATAAGGAACAAGCTGCGGCTGCATATTTGATTTTTGTATCCCCAGCAGAGCTCTCTTTTCATGTTACTATAAATACATGCAGCCACATCCATGCCCGTGCACCATTTTTCTTTCTTCAAAATTCAGCATTGTCTTATGTAAGACAAACCATCAGTGTGGAAAAACAAATTTTTTGTTCCTTTTCAAGTCATAATGAAACAAAATAATCTAAGCATATTTCATCAAGAAAAAGGTAATTACGGTAATGAGATTTCTTTACACAGCATTGAAATGCCAGGCACAGGGAAAGGCCTAATTTGTTATGGTTCTTTTTTGAATTTTTAATTAGTGAGCTTACATATGCGTTTTTTTTGCCCTGCTTTCAGCCTACTCGTCTTTTGTATGATCCTTTATTTGAGACCACATTATGGTTTTTTTCGTTGATTTATTGGACATCAGAAGGATGGATTTTTTTCTTTTCTTTTCTCTATCACGAGTGAGCGGACACCACTGAGAGAAAGTTGTATCTTTGGATAAAAATATTACAGAGTGCCTCTAAAGGTCCAACCAAACAAATCAAGAGCTGCTACCAACGGAGGAAAACTAAAGGCAAAATATCCGCACTGTATATGGTCCCTGTGTTTTTAAATATTTCACCAATGGCGTTTCACATCTTGAGTTGATTTGCTCATCAGACATATTGTACGCTCAAAAGTCTGCAGTGATTTCTCTCAGGTGATGGGGATAAAAGGTTTGTTTCGCTGCAAAGTTTGAAGCCTTGATTGCAGACGGTGTCTAAAAATAAGTCGAGCCATTAAAGTCAAGTCATTTAAATGCTTCTTCATTGCCAGTAAAGCCTCATAATTGTTCAAATGTCAGAATTAGCCTATGTGTAGGTTTATCTGACAAGAACCTCTAGTAGCTGTCCATTATATCAGGTATGTACTTGTTAGGTAGTATGGGTGATGGTGGATGGATCAGTAACAAAGCATGTGCATCCTACCAGCCTACTAAGACACATTATCGCCTACAGAATCCAACTTTGTAGTGGAAAACTGAATGTCATGGGTCTTACAATTGCATCATAAAACTCTCAGCTCTTTTCAGAAAATCTGCTCTGTTAATCTGCAGTTCTTGGGAAGATAACTAGTCAGGGGGCCTTCTTTTTTAGCAAAACAGTCAATATCAACATGCAACACTAGCTAACATTCTCTGCTGCGGTGAGTTATATCACCAGAGAACTGGAGTGTGAAGGAACCGGTTCAGTGTGAACTTGGAAAACCTTCCTCCATGCTGTCTCATTTTTCCAGGTTCAGCTCAGCAATCACTGCCCTAGTCAAAACCACAAGTCGTTTGTACTGAAACACGCCTCATCCCTCCGAGTATTTCCAAGCATGCTGAGATAGAAAACCTCTCTGATGCCACTTTGAAGACTAGAACCAATTAGGGAATCATTATAATGAGGAGCCTCTAAGTGCACGTCTTTTGTTACTTAGCAGCTGTCTAATTGGAGTTGGTGTATTTTCGAAGGGAATTGGGACGAAGGCTGTTCTAATGTGATACACTTTTAAATCAGCTACTCACTCATGGCGTACATTTTGACAATATATATCACAGTTGCCTGTACAGAAGGTTTTGTTTCACCTTTTGTTTCAAGTTATGGATACTCTAAACAGTTATGGTATTTCAAGAAACTAACATTTTGCTGTCATAGCTGTACACAGCTGAAAATGCCGCATCTCCTGCAGCAGCTCTTAACCTTCCCATGCCCACTGCAGCTGTGAATGATTTTTACCTCAGGGTATACTGTATATTCAGAAATGGTTGACTAGTTACACAGCTGCTGTATATACAGTACCATTTATATTGCAGTCTATGTCACAACCATATCATCACTTACACACTCATTTTTACAAGGAATGAATGGCATTAGTATTGAAGCAGCTGCTGCTTTGAAAGCATGGGCATTGATGTTTAAAGCTTTGAATGGGTAATTCTGAGTCATAGTAATTTATCCACTTTTCTTCTCTGTCCACTCTTTAAATATTATATTTCTGTGTATTTGTTCCCATTTTAATACAGCCTTTGTTGTGGTCTTTAATGAATAAATCATACTCCCACTGTCCATGGGGGAGAAAGATGTGGAATTTAATGTGCTCTCCCTCTCTCTCTTTCTCTCTCTGTTTGTCTTTTCACAGCTCCCCTGACAGACAAGCCGCCAAAAATCCTTTTCCCTTCAGAGAGCCAAATGAGCGTCATAGAGATGGCAATAGGTAAGGAAACATGTTTCGTTCCCCACATTGATGGCTTATTTTCTGTCCGCCGATGGAACATGTGGTGTCATAATTTGTGGCATATGCCTGCTCGTCACAATGGCATCGCTTCAAATTTCTAGATTGGTCGATCAAAGCCAGTTCCCTCAAAGTAGGTCCCGTTCTACTTAACTGGGGCTTTGTTTTTACGGATATATGTTGGTTCCTTCTTTGCTGTGCGTTAACTGAGTGGTGGAACCATTGGGGTCAAATGGTATTAGCAAATAAGCATAATGGCTTTCTTGTAAAGACTGGAAAATATTTGTCACAACTGCCATTATTTGATACACATTAATATCAGACACAGGCCTATAGTCCTAATTTTCCTTCTTTTCATACTGTAGGTAAACATTATTTTATCATAATTTAGTTGTCTTCCTTGTCGTCTGATCTGCTCCTGTTTTAATTTATCTCAAACTCACATGGGTACGTTTTCCGTGTTTACCTGTTGTCAGTAATATCGGGATAATCTGCCCTAATGCAGTACAAAAACATAATCATGTCATACTCACCACTTTTGTTGCTCCTAGTTTCTCTTTTAAAAAGAAATACTGATTTAAAGCGCTAATTAAGTCGAAACACTTCTACTTCTACTCTTTTCAATCAGTGTTAAGCTACTCAACCCTTCCTGAGCAAATGTCTCATGTAAAGGGCTTCCAGAAGCTTAAGTTGAATAGTGCCGTCCTTCCTCGCAGGCCCTCGCAGAGTTCCACTTAAAGTAGCTCAAAGCCGAACAAAAGAACGGCAAAGTAAGAGTGATTGAGAATAATGCAGTGAAAACCGTATTTCTATTACAAATAGAGATTCAGCATATTAGTAGACTGTTGTACAAATGGAAAATTATTGTTGTGGACATAAAGATTATGCTTAATTTACTATGTGAATCGTTATAATAATTCCAATCCCCAATATTTTCTTTACGTGTTCATTCTGACCTCCACCTATTATTTAAATACCAGTAATTTATGGCATTACCCTCTCCAGTGTCCTGTGCTGTTAAAACAAATATTTAATGCACCTTGTAATAGAGAGCGTTGGAATGTTTTGAGCTGTCGAACTGTATTTATCTCCTATAGCTTCCTATAAGTTGTATTTGTGTTTTTCAGATTTGCACAGATCTGACGTAAAGTAACCAAACACTGTATAAGAGTTTCAATTAGGTCTCTGTGTCTGTTCTTTTGTGAATGGACCTTGAGTTTCGTAACTTAAGAAGAAAAACAAGATGAGTCATTTGATGTTTTTGTGTATGAAAAGTTCACTGATTCAATTGGTATGAAAGCCAAGTCTGCTGCTTTTTCTTCTCCTGTCCTGTGGAGTGCCTCTTCATTATAATTACACTATAATTACACATTATAATTCACATCTATCCTGGTTATCTGGTGCAACATGGATTCAGCTTGTGTTTGTTGAGCTCAAATGAGTCACTAATGAATCAAAGTGGTACTTTTGAGATACCATACCTAATCTTCCCTCATATTACCTTCAAGTTTATGTTAGCGTTACTTCAAATGATTGCCTCCAAATCTGCCTCATGTGACCGCCTCAGAACGATAGTCCTTCGTTTGCCTTAGTAGCTCTTAATGCACAGGGGCTCATGGGAAAATTCCCGCTTTATGCCTTATTGGGCGAGAGCTCAGCTGTTGGTGGAACAGTAAATGGGTCATGATGAAGGTTTTCTTTGAAGTAAATTTGTCATGGACAATGAACACAACTGGCTCGCAGAGGTAAAAGGTAGCAATCAGAAAATAGGCGCAAATCATTGTAGCTTTAAACTGATGATGGATAAAAGCCTTTATGGCTTTTTATGTGGTTACATGTTTGATAGTGGATAATAGTGATTTTCAAAATCCATTCCCTGATAGCTGTGAGGATACGCAATGATGGTCCAAAGAAAAAAAGTGTGCTGCTTTTCTTGTTTTAGGGTTGATTTTGATTATTTTGTAACTGTATAATTTACTGTATATTTTATTAACTGTCAAGGATTTTTAGTTTTTGAGCTTTCTAGCTTTCTCATGCCCTTAGATACAGTAACTGTATCAGATTGAATTTTCATCTTGATATTCAGTGCATGAGGATTAGTAGGAACAGTATTTTTTCTCTGCTCCTCCCTCAACCTCTGCACCCATTGATATTCTACACAGAATCAGCAGCTCTGTGTACATAATATATGAACATCTATTTGATTCTCTGCCTCTACAAGCCCCTATCACTTCCTCTCAGTGTTTGGCTAGCATGCTCTTGTCAGCCGCAGAGAGCCCAGTAGTATCCTTTCGGGGTTGTGGCAGTTTTGGTGGAATTTTAATATTCATTCTCCCATGAAATATAGAAGCATAAATGGCTTCGGCTGACAGTTAATTAGGCAGGTGAGAGGGAGAAAGCAGAGGAGTAGGGAAAGGCGAACGTTGAGAGACACTTTCAAGCTCTTGTTGTCGAACTCAAGGGAGAAACTGAGAGAACAGAGGGATCTGTAAATGGGTGGCCCCCAATTAATCAACGCGCACTTCTCGTCCGTGGCCCACTCCCCTTTTTTTTGTCTCCTAATGGATGTGGTTGCTCAATTATAATTGATTAAATTTAAAATGCTTGATTAAAACATGTTGTATAAATGCTCTTCTCAGCCCTCGGTGGGCTTGTCTTTCCACTGCTTTCTCTGTGGGACAGATCACATACAGTTTGGGTCCGTAATTCAGTCTGACAGTCCAATGCGCACTCCTTTCCCTCTGTCTTGTGCAGATGTAAAATAATTGACTGCAGTCTAGCCAAGCACACTAACTGCAGCGCAAGTCTGTTTCTAGTAGAGTGCTAATGTGTACGATTTGTAAACACTAAACACTTTGACAACGGGCTGATTAATTTCCTTAATGCATTACCATGTTTTTTGTGTTTTACCTGTTGAATGAATGCACAAGAAAATGCTTCTGCCACTTCTGTGTTCTTGAACACAATCCAACCAGGGATTCAAACCGAACTCCCAGACACAAACCTGCTTCTTTAGCCTTTATTCTGCTGCCAGGTTTGATTTGTTATAATGCTGTCTTCTATGCAGAACTGAGGTGTCACTTGTGGCCTTCCTTACCTACCTATCCTGACATTTTATTTCGGGTTGGATTGAATTTACGACCATTGTGGCACTCTGTTTGTGATGTTCATTCTGGGAATACCAAGCTAGTTCCCCTGTGATCTTGATTGGCTGTTAAAACTTCAAGCCCTTTCAACTGCCTCCTTCCTCTGGATATCACACTTCATCCCCTGACACTTGACATTACGACACCGCAGCCAGTTTTCTGAAATTGCAGTGGAGAGAAAACAAGGTGGTGGTGTCTAAGCCTCTTTGCTAAGTTCCCCCACAATTCACTCTGCTCAACTCTCACATGAATGCTTCACTTGAAGAAGCCTGCATTATCAGTCTGTAATATTTAATACATGCCAAGAGTTGTTTTGTGTCAAAGTAGAATAGAATTGTTTTTTTTTTTTTTTGGTGGATTCACTTTCCCCAGAACTGCCTTGTCTTTTTGTCCTCTTGTGCCTCAGCTAGTGATTCCCACAATACCTTTTGGGATCCTTTAGGGGTTTTAAGTGAATTTGTTGTTTTCAGTCAAAAATGGGCAGTAGCTCAGCGACAAATTATGAACAGAGGAAATGGTCCAAGGGTCTCACACACACCCCTCTCTCCCACTCCATTTAGGCTGCATTTAGGGACAAATTATCTCTGTGTCTCTTAGATGGAATTTCTCCCTGTATGATTGTAGTTTGTGAAAGAAAGCTTTTGCTCCTTTATTAAGACCATACAAAGAGACTACCAAATACCCAAATCACACCAGAAATGGGTGGCCAAAGGTGTGTGCTCACATATTTTTGGTGTAGTCTTGGGATGTTTTTCATGGTTTTAGTTGGCCCCTTAATCTACATTTATTAACCTGAGATAAACAGAAATTGTTTGCTCCAGCTGACATGCTTTCAGCTTGCTTGAATGTGCCTTTGCCTCCTTTGTGTCACCTGGAGCAAATGTGTCTGTATACGCCCACTTGCGTCTTTCCATTGTTTTTATATGCAATCACACTACATGTAACCTTTAACTTCCGGTTCTGTCTGTACACGCCTTTACTTCCAATTAAATCTTAATGCTGCAGCATACATTGATATCTTGGACAACAGTGTGCTGCCCTTTCTGTTTCAATATTACAATGCCCTGTGCACAAACCCAGGTCATAAAGAAATGGTTTTCCCAGTTTGGTGTGGAAGAACTTGACTGTCTGCTTTATCCAAGCATCAGTGGCCCGCTAATGGCGTTCCAGCTTGATTGTGAATTGAATTAGTACAGATTAGGGGAAGTATTACAAATAAATTAGTGATGAAATTGTTTTTTATATCATGTTAGTAGTTATACATGCTGACAAATATGTTCTGAAGGTGCAGCATATTCATTTCGGACCGCCACAGAGTAATACAAAAGGCATCTTTTGATTGCATATTTTGAAAATCAGTATCACTTGCTCTCAGAAAGGCTCATTGTGAAACCCCCTTTGTTCTATGCAGCATCTCTGTAACAAACTGACAATCTACACTCCTCTCAGAGGTTGAGCTTCCTCAGTTGTTGGTCTGTGAATAATAACAGTGTAAACTGGAAATTGGTCTTCAGTCACTTTTCGGAAGGAGTTACATTGTCTAATGATATGAACAGAGGACACCCCAGAACAAAACCATCATTATCCTGAATTGACTTGGAGTCAGTAGCCACATCAAATTATAATTTGCAGTCCTTTGGTAATGATGAGGTTAGCCACAGCAATATACTATTATTCTGGTGCAGGTTCGGTTGCTATGAGACCCTCATTTCCTTTAAGATGACATTGAAACCCTCATAATAGGCTTAAAATATAAACAGAGAGACTTGACGAGTACAGATCCCCCTGTGAGTAAAATGTTTCTGCTTGTGGGATTTTTTTTTTTCATCCTCTGTA